ATTTTCATTTTATGTATGTATGTATTTATTTATTTATTTAGCTTCTTGTAATTTTCCTTGTGAAGATCTTTAACTTCTTTGGTTAGATTTATTCCTAGGCATCTTATACTATTAGTGGCTATTGTAAATGGAATTACTTTTTTCAGTTCTATCTCAATCTGCCTGCTGTTTGTATATAGAGATGCTATAGATTTTTGTATGTTGATTTTGTATCCTGCAACTTTACTATATTCATGTATTACTTCCAGAAATTTTTTTCATGGATACTATTGGGTCTCCTATGTATAGCTTTTGAACCATTCAACCAGTCTTTGTCTCTTAATTGGAGAATTTAATCCATTAACATTCAAAGCTATTATTGATATTTTTGGACATGTTACTATCATTAATTGAGCCTTTTTCTTTGTTGTTTTTCATTCTCTTATACTGTCCATCTGACTTTTTAGTTTTCCTGGTAGATCATTCCCTTCAGAACCTCCTATCAAGGTAGTCTGGAGTTGGTAAACAATTTCAAGTTTTGTGTATCCAAGAATATTTTTATCTTTTCTTCCCATTTGAAGGATAATCTTCCAGGTATAGTATTGTTGGTTGAAATTGTTTTTCATGTAGCACTTTGACTATATTTCCCCATTCTTTCCTTGTCTGCATTGTTTCTGATGAAAGGTCTGATGTTAGCCTGATGGAATAACCTTTGTAAGTAACTTAATGTTTCCCTCTTGTCAATTTTACTGTCTTTTCTTTGTGGTTTTGGCCAATCTAGCTATGGTGTGCCTTAGAGAGGATCTTCTTGGGTTGATTCTTTTTCGGGTCCTGTGTATTCCTTGGGTCTGGATATTTGAATGCCTAAGTTTAGAAATTTTTCTTCCAGGATTTCATGGAATAAATTATCAATGCCCTTATTATTTTCTTCCTGTCTGGGATACCAGTTATCTGGATGTTGGGGTGCTTAATGGTATCTAGTATTTCTCATATATTATCCTCATTTTCTTGGTTGTTTTCTCAGTCTTTTTTTTTTTTTTTTTAGAGGTTTTTGCTATAGGGTGCATGCACTCGCCAGAAAGACAGAGAGAGAAAGAGAGACAGAAAGCGAGAAATCATCCTCCAGGGAGGATGGCCACACTGCAATCCCTTCTCCTCCATTCTCTTCTCAGGATCTTAGGCACACCCACACACACGCCCGGTATGAATTTAAGCAACCCGGTCCAGGACTCAAACCATGGTTGACTACATGGGAGTCCACAGACATAGCCATTTCGCCAACTGCTGGTCCCTCTGAGTCTTTTTGATACTGTTTTCTATGTCAGGGTTTTGTCTTCTACATTCGAGATTTGATCTGTGTGATCTAATCTACTTTTAATACTTTCAAGGGAGGTTTTAATCTCCTGTATCACATTCTTCATCCCTAACAATTCCATTTGATTCTTTTTTATGATGTTTATTTCTTCTTTCAAATTGTGAAAGGACTTCCTCATCTCCTGGAGCTCGTTGTCTCTTTTCTCTTCCATCTCATTTAGTTTGGTCACTACAAATATTCTGAATTGCTTATCTGACATATCCACAACTTCCATTGTGTTTTGAAGGTGATGTGAAATTGATGTTTACCCTTAAGGGAGAGACATTTTGTTGATTGCTCACATTTTTGTGTCTCTGCGAGTGTTCCTAGTATATGGTGATCTATACGTTCTTTCCTAAATTATTATTCAAGGTATCTCTCAGTGTTCAAAAATGTGCAGGAGTATAAAATTGGCAATCTGTCTTCTGCTCTGTCTCCCTGTTCCTCACCAGCACCCTGCACTGTTGTGACTGGTCCTGGGTGACCCAAAGTCCTCCCTGTTTCTGAAGAACAGGTGCACCTGAAACTGAGCTGCTAAGCTTCACCTCGGGAGTGAAAAAAAGATACCAGCATGATCTCAAAACACTGAGAGTTCAAAGGCGAGTGGGAAAGGGGATGGGCCGTGGGGCCTAGCTGTTAGCTGAAGACACAGGTACCCTGGTGTCCAGCATGGTTGGCAAGGCTGTTAGCTTGAACCAGTATCTGGATCTGGATGAGACTGGAAGGGGCGCAAGTTCGTCTTTTTTTTTTTTTTTTTCCATTTTCTTTTATACATTCAATCACGTTATTTAGCTTACAAAGTGAATATTCCAACATGTGAGCATTTCTCCCCAGTCCCATTGATAAAACTATAAAATTATCTTCAATAGATAATACCACATTTCTTTGTCCCATTAATGCTTTGTCTCTATTTTTCTTTGAAATGTCCTTCCTTAGACTACTCTTCCACACACACTGTACCTGGTATTCACATCTATTTATTGTGTTTCTATAAAGTCCCAAAACACAAACCTGAAATCCAAAGGTGAGTAGGGGAGGTGATAAGCCTCAGTCCTAGCCATTAGGCCCTGCAGCCACAGGCAGCCTGGTGTCTGACAAGGCCATTTCTACAGTGCAGACTTTCAACATATACTGAGTGAGGACATGAAGTACTTGACTTTCACAGTCCTGCTTATATAACTTAGCTTGTTTTCTTTCTTCTTTATTTTACTTATTTATTTTGTCTTAATTAATATTTTATTTACACTTATTCACTGTCTATCTTTACAGTGTACAACATGGTTTTTCCCAGCATGAATAGGTGCATATTAATCAAGTCAAGACCTTACCACATACATTATAATTAACACAAAACTTTTCAATTTTGTGTCTACTAAATGTTTAGTTTGTTTTTTAGCCTATATCTTTTTCATACTGAGAATGGGATAACTGTGAAAATAGTGCAGAGATGCCATTTAATATTGGCTTTGTTTCAAAAAATTTACGATGCTCCAGCCCGTCAGTTTACAACCTGGTGATCACAGATACTCAGAGAAGGTAGTAGGAAATCCCATCTTTTTATCAATTTTTTTAAACACATAATCCCACATAACTCAGGCCTGATGGCCCTGGAGATGTTGATTTCAGGGTGGGGGTGGTGGTAAGTCACTTCCAAAAGACATAGCAAGGTTCCATTGGAAGCTTAGCTCTGGCTGTCACTTTGTCATTTTGGGATTATAGTACTAGGATATCAGCAGGCAAGTTAGGCTACTCTTCATTTGGTAATTGATCCTTTCATCCTGAGGAAGTAAAACTACTCCTACATAAATGTGGGCAGGGTAATTTATGGAGCAAGCTGGTAACCCACCAGGTCAATGTGGGATTTCTAGTTTCAGCTAAACTGCAAATTTGGAAGATCAATGCCTATGGCCTGATAAGAAAACTATAGCCAAGGAAGTGTGTGGTCTCTGCTGAGGACATTGGTTTCTCTAGTAAGCATATCACCTAAAAGCAGCAAAAGTGCTGCCCACCCACTAATTCTCTTGTGGGTTTCTTGGAATTTGTGACCATCGATGGGTTGTGCTCAATGGTGAGGTGGTCTTGGGTGGTATTAAAGGTGGACTATACAATACCCTTCCTAGAGCCCTTATACTAGAAAGCTGTCCCATCAGGAGTTAGGATTAGTGTGGACTGCTAGTGGCTCATGCTGTTCACCTGCACTGTTATCCAGGTAATTGTCCTCAGCTTAAAGGATCCATATCATCTGTGTGTTTTCTGCCCTCTTGGCATCCTTTACCCATTCCCCTGGTGGCCCACACCTAGTTTTAATTGATATCAGAATACAAAGATCTAATCCTTTCATTTCTAGGACAAAGAGATTTTTGGTACCACTCACATTCTCTAGCATCCTATAGGGTCAGACAAGGATAGCAGTGATGTACAGACACATTTTGGCTTCACTGACTCTAGCAAGCTATCTGCTTCCCTAGACTCTTGCATATTTCCCCTGAGAGTACTTCCTTATAAAGCACCAGTGTAAGAACCTGTGATTCAGGGTTTTCCTTTTAGTGAATCCAACATGGCACATTCATCTTAGGGTGATTATCCCTAGATTCCGCATCCATCAACATAGCTAGGGTAGTGTCCTCCTGAATGAGGCCTTCTTCGAAACAAAGCTTACACGAGTATTTCTACAACATGGCCTCACCTTAAATGAGTGTTCTCAACATGGCAATTTTGCCAGATGGACTGCTGCAAAGAAGATTGAAGAAATTATATAGAAATGAAATTAGCAAAACAAACATTTAAATGTTCTGGAGATTTACCATTTTACTTAAGAGTTCACCAAAAACTTATTTAATCATTGACACGATATAAAAAATGTTTTCAGGGCCAACAAACAGATTAGGAACACTACTTTCTTACCATGTGTGTATTTTGAAGAACAAGAAATTGAATTTAGAGCAAGTAGTGCTCTAGAAGTGCTAGAAATGAACTTGAAAAATAATGCAGGAAGGAAAGGCAAACCTGTACAGAGCGAGTTAATGATCAGAACACTCCTGTAAGTAACTAGGGTTCAGGAACCCTGAAGCCCTCTAGAAGACTAGTACTACAGTCCTTAATGAAGGAGAAATAGCTCAAGCAATTATTCGCCAAATCCACTATAATGGATTACGATTGTTAATAGAGACCCTTTTCATCTGCCCAAAATATTACTTAATTCAGACAAAGTCACCAGGAAAATGTTTCCTGGCCCTTGTTCTAAATAACCAAGAACCATCCTTCTATATTAGCAGAAGGAGTGCTCAGGGAATAGAGGTAGAGTCCATAAAATCATCTACCATTGGTTTCAATCTGCACAGAGAACAACTAAAAAAAAAATGAGAGAGAAGAGTGACAATTTGCAAGGAAAAATAAAGACACAAGATAACCTTACATTTGTATGCCTGGAAAATCAAGATTTATTTAAAATGCAAGAATATGTCCACATGGATAAATGTGGAAGATAGAAAATATTTCCATTTGGTGATAACATGGTGGAGGAGTGCAGGTGTATTTGAGGCTCTGGATGAAGCTATTAATCAGTTGGAACTGAGGTTTCATGGGGGACGTTCCATGATTAGGCTCTCAGATAAACTAGATCATAAATGCTGGTGAGTGAGGAAGAGGCAGGTGCAGGGGAGAGCACTCAGCAGCAAGAACAACTAGAGCAGGTGGGGCGGCAGCACGTGGTCCTGCAACAGGTAGTCTGGCAGCAGGTGGGACGACAGCAGCAGGTGGGGCGACAGCAGCAGGTGGGGCGACAGCAGCAGGAACCACAGCAGCTAGGCCTGCAGCAGCTGGAACCACAGCAGCAGGGACGGCAGCAGGGACGGCAGCAGGTGGTCCTGCAGCAGGTGGTCTGGCAGCAGGTGGGGCGACCGCCGCAGGGCCCGCCACCACA